TGAAACATGGATAGCTTCTTGTTTGGTTTTTTTTTCTACCTAAGCTGATGATAGCCTTGAGAGGCTATGTCAGCGTAACCTAAGAAGTAGGTGAGCTCACGGAGTTCAGACCTGACATGGCGCAGGGTTCGACGAAAACGATGACCGGTGCTTGAGGTACCTAAAAGCACCGTTAGTGGATCGGGAGGATCCGAAATGACGTGTTTAGGACCACTTCTTGGAGTTGGGCGAGAAATTATTAATACCAGTGGTCGTCCGGTAGTCGAAATTCGACTATAATTAATTGAAATTAAAAGGTTGTACACTATTATGATTCGATTTTCAAAGACTGTTATACTTCTATAATCACAAATTTCGCCAAGACTTCGTATTTCGCTATAGAAAAATATTAACAAAGACAAACAATATTTAATCTATTCTGAATTTGACCACAGACGTCAAGAACAAAAGTTTGACAATAAATAAATAATATGGATGCGTGTGTGCGTCAAATACATGGTAGTGTGTGTAGTGTTCTGCACTCCTTCTCTATGTCTATATGTATAAATAAAATTAGAGTGTCTGTTTGTAGTATTGAAATAACCGTTTTTTACTACATGCATATGAATAGTATATACGGTACATACACCAAAATAACATGTTTTACAATTTTTGTCTGTCTTTCTGTCTGTTTGTTCCGGCTAATCTCTGGAACGGCTGGACCGATTTTAATGAGACTTCCACTAATAGGTAGCTGATGATATAAGGAGTAACTTAGGCTACTTTTTTTAGACTAGCTTCGCCCCGCGGCGTCAACCGCAATTATTGTCGTACCGCGCGCAACATGGCGGGCTTCGCCTATCAATAAAAAAATTTAATGTTTCCGAAGCGAAGCGGGGGCGGATCGCTAGTTCTCTATAAGTGTGGAAAATTTCATACTCCTCCGTCCGCGCAATTTTCGTAAAAAGGGATACAACGTTTTTGCTTCACGTATTAATATATAGATTACGGATACAGATTAATTACATGATCATGAAAAGGCCGCATTAAAGAACAGTATTCAAACTCCGATATGTTACAACCACGCAGAACCAAGAATAAACTAATATGCTTCTATCTGAATCATCATCTATTTGAAACTTAAGACAATAACCACTAACTAGACCTGTTTGCAAAAATATATCTTCATTTTTAAGGTTAAGCCCTAACAATTTCTTTTTGTCTATTATTCATTTGTTTATTTGTGTAAAAAAATACAGAAACAACCCAAAAAACAGTTCAAACTAATTTTAGGGCTTATCTCACCATCAGCACATATTTATGTCAGTACTTAAGTCTAGGGGATCTAAAATGTTAAGTTTTTTTATTTTATTTTTATTGCCTTTGTAGGCAGACGGGCATACGGCCCACCTGATGGTGAGTGGTTACCGTCGCCCATGGACTTCAGCAATGTCAGGGGCAGAGCCAAGCCGCTGCCTACCGCTTAATACTCTCCACAAGCCTCGTTTCAAGAAGGATATGTCATAGCGCTCGGGAAACACCGTGGAGGGGAGCTCATTCCATAGCCGGATGGTACGTTGCAAAAAAGATATCTGGAAACGCACTGTGTATGACCGCAGTGACTCCAGGTAGTATGGATGAACTCTACTCCGGTGGCGATGGTAAAAACGAGATGCCGGTATCATCTCGAACAATTCCTCAGAGCACTCCCCATGGAACATACGGTACAAAATACAGAGAAGTTTTATTGTTTTTGCGTTTATACCGTTTTAAAGTCATAAATTTTTACATATATTACAGGATTCAATCTGTATATATTTCAAAATTAATCGAATCAAAATTATTGGCATCGATATTGTGATTGTGTAGAATTAGCTTGCATAAGAAACAAAAGTAGTTAGGCGTATTTAAAATTAGAGAACCCTGGCATCATTTTTCATTCATCATTTTGGCATTCTTCTCCTGTCTATTATAATCCTGGATAGCTTTTACTAATAAACATCACGTTGGTAATCGATTCACTATGGGTAATGGGAGCTAATCCCAGAGGTCATATAACATGTGAACATAGACTCTTTTGGTGCCGTTTGGTAAAAATGAAAGATCCTCTCCAATTTTTTATATCAAATTACAAATTAGCATCAAATACCAAATAGCCAGTTGAAAAGTGAAAATAGAATTTAATAAAAATCGCAATAAATAAAGCAAACAGAAGTATCAAATACTAGCCATACTCGCCCGCTTCGCTGGGCATTTAAAATTAACATTATTGTTTCCAGGGTTGGGGTGGCTTTGGCGGTGTCGCTCGACATCGCCAATGCGTTTAACACCCTGCCCTGGTCCGTGATAAGGGGGGCGCTGGAACGACATGGAGTGCCTCCCTACCTTCGCCGGCTGGTGGGTTCCTACTTGGAGGACAGATCGGTCACGTGTACTGGACACGATGGGATCCTGCACCGGTTCCCGGTCGTGCGCGGTGTTCCACAGGGGTCGGTGCTCGGCCCTCTTTTGTGGAATATCGGGTATGACTGGGTGCTGAGAGGTGCCCTCCTCCCGGGCCTGAGCGTAATCTGTTACGCAGACGACACGTTGGTCGTGGCCCGGGGGGGTAGTTTTGCTGAGTCTGCCCGTCTTGCTACCGCTGGGGTGGCGCATGTTGTCGGCAAAATCAGGAGATTGGGCCTCGACGTGGCGCTCAGTAAATCCGAGGCCATGTGGTTCCACAGGCCCCGGAGAGTGCCACCTGTCGATGCCCATGTCGTGGTTGGAGGCGTCCGTATCGGGGTCGGGGTGCAGTTGAAGTACCTCGGCCTCATTCTGGACAGTCGTTGGACCTTCCGTGCTCACTTTCAGAGCCTGGTCCCTCGTTTGTTGGGGGTGGCCGGCGCGTTAAGCCGGCTTCTGCCCAACGTCGGGGGGCCTGACCAGGTGACGCGCCGTCTCTATACAGGGGTGGTGCGATCAATGGCCCTTTACGGGGCGCCTGTGTGGGGCCAGTCCCTGGCCGCGGGTGTGGCGAAGCTGCTGCAACGGCCGCAACGCACCATCGCGGTCAGGCTCATCCGTGGTTATCGCACCATCTCCTTTGAGGCGGCGTGTGTACTGGCTGGGACGCCGTCTTGGGTTCTGGAAGCGGAAGCGCTCGCCGCTGACTATCAGTGGCGGGCTGACCTTTGTGCCCGGGACGTGGCGCGTCCCAGCCCCAGTGTGGTCAGGGCGCGGAGGGCCCAATCTCGGCGGTCCGTGCTGGAGTCATGGTCCAGACGGCTGGCTGATCCTTCAGCTGGTCGTAGGACCGTCGAGGCGATTCGCCCGGTCCTTGTGGATTGGGTGAATCGTGACAGAGGACGCCTCACTTTCCGGCTCACGCAGGTGCTCAGTGGGCATGGTTGTTTCGGTGAGTTCCTGCACCGGATCGGAGCCGAGCCGACGGCAGAGTGCCACCATTGTGGTTGCGACTTGGACACGGCAGAGCATACGCTCGTCGCCTGCCCCGCATGGGAGGGGTGGCGCCGTGTCCTCGTCGCAAAAATAGGAAACGACTTGTCGTTGCCGAGTGTTGTGGCATCGATGCTCGGCGACGACGAGTCGTGGAAGGCGATGCTCGACTTCTGCGAGTGCACCATCTCGCAGAAGGAGGCGGCGGGGCGCGTGAGAGACGCGCAAGCCCGCCGCCGTCGGGCGGGGGCCAGGGAGGCGGATCTCGCCCAAGCCCTGGCCCTCTAAGGGTTTCGGGTCCCCTTCACATGTCGGTCTGGGGACCGGCGAAGGGGGCCTAAGAAGACGACGTGCAAGCTGCTCTGCACGCGTTTTACGCAAGAGCATCCGGGTGATGGAAGGCCGGCTATCCTCGACCCACGCTGGTTCTGACCCAGCGGGGTATTCCGTAGGATAACCCATTCTAACCGGCGCCATCTAGGCGGGCTCCGGATAGCCTGCCGACCGAGAGGGCTGGTGGCGCCGACGACCGCTAGTCCGGCGTCCCGAGGGGAAGGGTGATGGGAGAGATGTGCTCCGCACTAAACGCTTCACTTTCCCCCCTTTGCCTTTTCATGGGTTCTGTCTCATGCGAGGTTCGGACGTTGGTTGTTGAGCGACAGAAGGTTTTAGTTAGTTCGACTCCGAAATGCCCCGCCCTTCATCCCCAGGGGAGGGCGGAAGTCCGGCGATTTCCTCCTGACCAAAAAAAAAAAAAAACATTATTGTTTATTGTCATTATTATAAGGGAGACCTAAGACTCATATAAATATTAGCCTATCCCTAAAGTACATGTATTTTCTACATGGATACCAAGTTTCAAGTCAATCGGATGCATGGTTCAGAAGTTATAACGGAACATCCATAAAAATCACTGTAGATTTATATATTAGTATATATAGAGATATTTCTCATTCTTTAGTAGGTTTTGAATAAATTGATTTTTTGTCCTGCATATAATAGATGGTATTACTACATCCAAAATTAGTTATGAGTCTAGAAAATCTTATGAGCGAGCTCTTTCTAGCTAAAAATATTTCAAAGCCATGCAACGGCCGTCTGGTGTAGTGGTAAGTGACATGGTCACTACACAAGGGGGGCGCCGGGTTCGAATCCCGCCAAGGGAAGATATTTGTATGATAAATATAAATGTCTTTTCCAGGGTTATGGATGTATATTAAATATATGTATGTGTATAATAAAAAATCTTACATTTATATCCGTTATCTGGTACCTGTAACACAAGTTCTTTACGAACTTATCACGGGACCAGTTAACGTGCTGCGATTGTTAGTAAATTGTTATTATCTATTTTGACCATACAATCAAGCGTCTTAAAAGCAATTAAGACGCGACTAACTACTAAAACAATGGCAATTTTTTGATTCCATTATCGTCCAGTTCGTGATCGTTTGCTAATGTTCAATATTGTTTATCGCTAATTAAACAATATATGTTAGAATTTCTGAGTAACATGTGTTTTGCATAATCGCGTTATATATTACGCAATCGAAGCTATAAATGGAGGTGGATTTGATAAAAAAATGTTATTGAACAACAGCGTTTTCGTCCGCAAGATGGGTCGCTGGTACTTTATGTGTTTGTTGGGTCTTTTCGCTCAGGTATGTAGCTTTCGATTTAATACATTTTTATGGCTGAGATGACTGGATGAGCTTATGCCTATCGTTGGTGTTAAGTGGTAACTGGACCCTATTGACATCAGTTTTGTAGTACAACGGCTGCCCTATCCTTCGAACCGAATCGCATCACTATTTATTATAACTACAGTGCGTTTCCAGAGACCTTTTTCGTTACGTGCCATCCGGCTCTCTTCCACGGTTTTTCTCGTGCGCTATGACATGTCCTTCTTCAAACGAGACTTGCGGAGATTACTTAAGGTTTGGCAGCGGCTTGGCTCTGCTCCTGGCATTGCTGAAGTCCATGGGCGACGGTTACCACTCGCTATCGGGTGGGCCGTGCGCTCCTCTGTGTACTAGGGCAAAAAAAAACTTCCCCACAGAAGTAAGCGGGTTAGTGGTCTACCCATGCGGTCTAACAAGATGCTTTACTGCCAGCAAAAAACCTTTAGCCAAAACCAAAGATATTTAGGATCAAATATTTGGTGGTTTGAATCGAAATTCGGTGATAACAAAAGAAAATTGTACAATAAATACTATTGTATAAATAAATAGCTGAGCATCTAGAATGGTCTGGTCTAGATTCAAATTCGACTCAAAAAGCATTTGAGATCCAACAAGCCATATAACCATGAAAAAAAATTGTGTAAGTATAGTGTCTAGACCTAATTCTTAGATGGCGCTGCGACATCTGCGTTATCGGAGTGATGCCAATGATATATTTATGCAAATTAAGGTAGGACCTCTTGTGAGTCCGCGCGGGTGGGGGTACCACCACCCTGCCTATTTCTACCGTGAAGCAGTAATGCGTTTCGGTTTGAAAGGTTGGGCAGCCGTTGTAACTATACTTGAGACCTTAGAACTTGTATCTCAAGGTGGGTGGCGCATTTACGTTGTGGATGTCTATGGGCTCCAGTAACCACTTAACACCAAGTGGGCTGTGCGCTCGTCCACCCAACTAAGCAATAAAAAAAAAAAAAAAATATCAATTGAACCATATTCAAGTTAATTCGTATGACACTTTTAATGTTTTTCCAGAACGCTCTTTCCCAAGTACTTGGAAACCCGGGTTGCGCTTGCAACGTTCGTCAGCCATATGCTGGAAGTGTGGGGTGCAATGCCCCGTGTGGTGGTCCAGCTGGCTACGGCGATGTGGCCGTGTCGGGTGAATTGCCCGTGGGTGGCAACACTGGCGTCTGTGGGAACGTTCCTGTAGTGGGATATGTGATGTTCGAGGGTACAGTGCCGGCTGGAGGATTGGTGAGCGTGGCCAACAACTGCGGATGCAACGGTCCTGCGTATTAATTTTTCTTTAAATGAATAAAATATTAAAAAAATAAATTGATAATAACCCGTTTCTTTTATTAACTCAACAAGCGGCCCGTTCCGGCTCCGCTCGGGTCTTTTACAAAAATTTCAACGATATTTGACGTTGTCTTATTTTTTTAATAAAAGAACACTTATTGCGGCATAACTATAATAGTTAGACATATGCTGTCGCGACACCTTTTGTAAATAATAATGTGTTCTATAAAGTCGTAGTACATTATTTTATTCTATCATCAATAGTTTTCGCAGGGCACTCGATGTAAAGAATATTTTAGGTAATTTTTTACACATTGGGTTACATTATTGGAGCTTTAGTAAGGATCCTTAATTTTTTTCAAAAAAGATTATAGCCTATGTCACTCGGGAATGGTGTAGCTTCCAGACAGTGAAAAAATGTTTCAAATCGGTTCAGTAGTTTCGGAGCCTATTCAATACAAACAAACAAATATTTCCTCTTTGTGACATTAGTACAGATAAATCATTGTCTTGTCTCTTTGTTTTGCTTTGAGCTTATCCTCTCTGAGGAGGTTATGTTTGTTAATCTATTACCTAGATTATCTAGATGTCCGAATCTACAACTTTCACGCACAACATAAAAATAATTTTGTAAGTTATAATTATTATCAGTACAGATCGGTTTTAAAACAGTCTTACTAAATGATATATCGCAAATATTTTACCTCTTGCATCAGCGTTCAAATAATTATACTAAAGACTCCTTATCTTACATTTATTGACCGTGCAGTATATTGTTCGATACTTTGACAAATGATGGTCCTTCGTGTCATTGCCTCAACGCCAAAACACCTGCTTGCGGATTTAAATTTGTCAGACTTTTAACAAAGCACTGAAAATTGGGCCTAGGGTTGTAGATTTGATTCACACTTTGGGCATGTATTGACGTGACATACAGGTTTGGAGCTAACAATACTTTTCAAATTATCAATTTCAAATTCGAATTATTAATTATTCTTAAATTTATAAATAGCTATAAGCGGCGTTTGGAATTTCCTTTATTTATTTATTTTATTTATTGCTTAGATGGGTAGACGAGCTCACAGCCCACCTGGTGTTAAGTACTGGAGCCCATAGACATCTACAACGTAAATGCGCCACCCACCTTGAGATATAAGTTCTCAGGTCTCAGTATAGTTACAACGGCTACTCCACCCTTCAAACCGAAACGCATTACTGCTTCACGGCAGAAATAGGCGGGGTGGTGGTACCTACCCATGCGGACTCACAAGAGGTCCTACCATCAGTAATTACGCAAATTATAATTTTGCGGGTTTGATTTTTATTACACGATGTTATTCCTTCACCGTGAAAATCAATCGTGAACACTTGTTGAGTACGTATTTCATTAGAAAAATTGGTACCCGCCTGCGGGATTGGAACACCGTTGCATCGCTCGATACGAATGCACCGGACGTCTTATCCTTTAGGCCACGACACCTTCATTTAAACAAATGTATGATTGATTTTTTAGAAACCTGTCTCTGGGCGTGTAATATCTGTAGGATAATATTTAGATACATATATAAGATGCGGGCTTCAAATAATCATGGGTAATTTGTCCCTTCCTTTTTTTTTAAATCGCCTTACTTATTGGGGTCTATGTATTTCCCAATACTCCGAAACGCTATTGTCCGCTTTCAATTGGTATTTTCTGCTTTCGTATGTCTGTTTGGAATGAGCAACCTGAAATCTCAACGTCTGTGACATAATTCCTGTAACTAGTGGACCCGTAGTAGTCGAAATTCGACTATAATTAATTGAAATTATAAGTTTGAACATTTTTAGGGTTCTATTATCAAAGACTATTTATTATACTTCTATAGTCACAGATTTTGCCAAGACTACACAATTAATCTATTCTCAATTTGACCACAGACGTCAAGAACAAAAGTTTGACAATAAATAGTATGCATGCTTGTGTGCGTCAAATACATGGTATGTAGTGTGTGTAATGTTTTCTTTATTGATTTAAGGTATCTTTTATGCATTATTTTTAAAAAATATTAGCATTGTGCACTTCTTCTCTATATTCTCTATAAGTGTGGAAAATTTCATACTCCTCAGTCCGCGCAATTTTCGTAAAAAGGGATACAAAGTTTTTGCTTCACGTATTAATATATAACTATAGATAATGTATGTAGTCTCTTGTAATGACCGGGTTGTGTGTAAGGAAGATTCGGTACAATTTTTCTATCACATCTCAATGCAATTGTGCTGCTCTTGTGGCCACTAAATGCCAGGTTGTGAGCTGGTCTTTTAAGTCATAGAAAAAACAAGAACCTAAGAGTACACATTTTTTATTTATTTTTTATTGCTTAGATGTGTGGACGAGATCACAGCCCACCTGGTGTTAAGTGGTTACTGGAGCCCATAGACATCTACAACGTAAATGCGCCACACACCTTGAGATATCGTTTTAAGGTCTCAGTATAGTCACCACGGCTGCCCCACCCTTCAAACCGAAACGCATTACTGCTTCACGGCAGAAATAGGCGGGGCAGTGGTACCTACCCGTGCGGACTCACAAGAGGTCCTACCACCAGTAATTACGCAAATTATAATTTTGTGGGTTTGATTTTTATAAAGCACTATTTATTGTTGCCGAGTTTTTGCTGTAAACTCCAAAACATTAAATGCTCCGTAAGGCAAGACAATCTCCTTTCATCTTCAGCGTCATCGACCCCATAATTATAATAAATTAATGAAAAGATAATTACATTCCACTGTTGATGTGTATCGTTGAAGTATGATACCCTCGTTGTATGCCTATCAACGGAAAATAAATTTGGATACTCCTATTCATAGTTGGAATAAGACCGATAACTTCTGTACATAATTTTCTGTCAGATAATAATTAATACCCGTGCGTTAACATATCCTCCTCCCTGCGCCGCATTCATCATGTCTGAGGGTCGTGACCATCTCCTCCCATTATCCTTCTTTGGATGATGTTTCCCAATCTTCCTCTGTTCTCGGTGGTGTGTATGGCATCGTAGTCGGTGGTATCCAGAGTGGTGCAGATTGGGTCGGACCAGCGCACCATTGGATTTGCAGCCACAAGATCTTTTGCCTACAATCTTGCCAGTTACTATCAATTTTTCAGGACTTTCACCGCTCTTTCTGGCAATGTGACCGAAGAACTCAAATATCCTCTTGGGGCATATGGTAGTGAGCCTGGTTTGGATATTGAGCTATCTGAATGTGGACGCATTAGTCCGATTTGCTGTCCACGGGATTCGTAGCATCTTCCTGAAGCACCACATCTCGAAGGCATCAATGCGGTGGTGATTAGCTGAGTTTAGAGTCCACGTCTCAGCCAGTGTTTCCACTTTAATTATTTCCTTTCCCCACGCCTAAATTCAAATTTCCCCTTCTCAGGGCTCTTTCCCCCCAAAAAATTTTCCGCTGTATTTTTTACTTTAACTTTATCGTTTTTTTTCCTGCCTGCCTCCTAGCTGCCCACGCCTCTGGTGATACTATACTATAATATTATTTACACTAAATGCCATTTACCCATGATTTCCCTCAATTTCCCCTTTTAATTTCTTCCCCTTTTTCTCCCTTTATGGACCCTAACTTCCCCTCAAATGGGGAATTTCCCCTCACAGTGGAAACACTGGTCTCAGCACCATAGAGAAAGAATGTGAACACGAGAGGTCGGACAAGTCTGATTTTGGTTTTAAGAGATATTTTCCTATCTCTCCATGTTCTACAACTTAAAATATACACGAGTGAAAATTTCATAAACGGGATTGCGAAACATTTTAAAATACTGTGATATGCGCAATCTTACGTGACAATAAATTAGTTACCAAATAAACATTTTTAATGAAATATGATATGCGGCAAGTACAGTTTCTTGATATTTAAAATTGATGTTTAATAAAACTAACCAATTTGCACCCATGGCAGCCATTCAGCACCTACTCAGCAATGCCAGGGGCAGAGCCAAGCCGCTGCCTACCGTACCGTCAAACACTTATTATTTTGAGAAATGACCAAGTACATCCATACCACCAAGGAGGACTAAAAATCCCTCTGATACTCTTTAGTACTCTTTCAGACCTCCTAAACACTTGAAGAATATCATTGAAACGATGCAGAACGACATGTCTTGGAAACTAAAATTCAACAGGTTCTAGAAACCAAGAGCTCTTATACAACATTTGACAAAAGAAAATGAAAGACAACAACTTAAAAAACTCTTTTTATTATCTAATTCATAACATAAATAATTTAAATAGCTTAGAATTTAAGAGAAATTCTTATTAGGATCAAGAACAACCGTAATTCACAATGGCGGACCCGTCTGTCGGCAAGTTGCCATTTAGCGCGACTGATCCGTAAATTGGCATATTGCCAGCTATTGAAACTGTCCCGCCAATATTCAAGCCATCCGCCAGAACATGAAGCCCAAATGGTTGATTTGGCAAATCCCTAATTGCCAACGGTACATTGCTATTGTATAAATGATTTAAGTGGTCAGGAAAATTTGTTGTTTGGATTAGATTAGATTGACCAAATTGGGCTGCGTCCATGTTAGCTAAATTAGTGTTAATTAAATTATGTGCTGCTACATTTTGTAAGTTGTTAAGAATATTAGAATTGGGTGGATTACCTGCAATTGCGCTTGATTTTAATGCAAGTACCGAGGGAAAATTTGCATTAAATAAATGGTTTATACTGTCAGGCGTGTTTGTTGCTGTTACTATGTTTGATTTAGCTTCATAAAGTGGCACCAGTTGCTTTCCTTCTATATTAGCTGAGCCTGGTTGTACTGAATCTACGTTCATTAAATTAGCATTAAGTAAATTTTGTGTTGCTACGTTTTGTAAACTATTCAAAGTATTAGTGCCACCTAGATTTCCTATTATTGCGCTTGATTTTGTGATATCTTGTAAAGATAGTGGCATTTTCGAATAGAAATTTGCTAAACTGTTCATGAAGCCTCCATTGCTATTGACATTTTTGCTGACCATATTGGCACAGTTGAAGTTGGTTCTAGTAGCGTACGGATTGCTTAGCATAGAATTTACCAAATTAACGTTTGAAATTCCATTTGGTATGTTCCCTGGCACGTTGCCCATGCCAATCTGATTAAAGATGGGGGTGCCGGTGCCGAATCCTCTGGTTAAAACTGGATTCAACGACAGCTGTGCATTCTGATTCCCAAAATTCAACCAGTTTTGTTGATTTTGATTTTTCAAGCCTTGTGTCAATGCGATCTGAAATTATAAACAGATTAACTTAGGCGTATTGTTTGATAACTATAGACAGTCAGGTCCTATAAGAAGTTACTCTTAGTAGAGAATATTATAAATACCGCACTCCAGATTATTTCTGTAAAAGCAACCTGGCGTACCGATTTGAAAAAAAAAACTGGAAGTTAAGCAACACAATTGAGAATTTGATTTCAAGGCAGTAATGTAGTGAGTCTAAGGGCTCCACTAACTTTTCAAAACCAGGTATGACTATAGACTAATTTGCAAACAAATAGCAATAAGAGTCAGGCCGGATATTAAACTTTGAAATAGACAACCATAGTCACAGTAGCGACCATAAAAACTTGCGACGAAAAAGTTGCAAATTATTTAATAGAATTGTAAAAAATTCTAAAACCGTTTATATAGAAAGACAGACAGACATCTCTCGATTCATTGCTTTATAATACCTGCACTAAACTTAAATAAACGACACAGCGAAGACCACCCATATTAATAAACAATTGAAAGTTTGAAGAAAGAGAAACGTAATGATTTCTTTTATAATCGTCGTTGTAATGAGACGTGACGTTCTTGAGTAATTTCAATACGAATTTATTATCATTTATTCTTTATCATTTTGCGGAAGAAAGATGAGATTGCGTGTTAGCTGTGCGATAAACTTAGTGAGATATTGTCGCTGTTTTTTTTAATGTATTTTTCTGTGTAGTCTGTTTGAGTGTAAGTCTGGTATTACGTGGACGGTCGTTAAATCGAGTGGAAGTCTAAATTTTTTTTGTTGCTTAGATAGGTGAACGAGCTCACCGCCCACCTGGTGTTAAATTAGTTACTGGAGCCCATGGACATCTACAACGTAAAACCTTGAGACATGAGATCTAAGGTCTCACTTTTAACAGTACAACGGCTTCACGGCAGAAATAGGCAGAGTGGTGGTACCTACCTGTGCCGACTCACAAGACGTCCTACCACCAGTAATTACCAAATTATAATTTTTGCGACTTACATCAAAAATATAAAAAAAAAAACTCTTTAAAATGACGGTGTTCAAGGTATCTCCCTTTTATCAATCGCTTGCTTCAAAATTGTTTTTTTCTTTTTCTACTGTAACACCTGCAGTCAGTCGCCATGACTCTGACAGATGAGTTTCAAGAGGTTATGGTTTGGAGGGGCAGATCCAATGCTCCGTCTCACCTTAGTAGGGTAGCACGTCGGCTCTCTTGAGTCTAATCGGATTTGGCTGCAAGAGCATACCGGACAACGGGTTTGGTGAGCTGTCAAATGGTTCTTAAAGATGGCTGAGTATCGTTTAACTTTTTTTTTTATTGCTTAGATGGGTGAACGAGCTCACAGCCCACCTGGTGTTAAGTGGTTACTGGAACCCATAGACATTTACGACGTAAATGCGCCACAAGTTCTAAGGTCTCAGTATAGTTACAACGGCTGTCCCACCCTTCAAACCGAAACGCATTATTGCTTCACGGCAGAAATAGGCAGGGCGGTAGTACCAATCCGCGCGGACTCACAAGAGGTCCTACCACCAGTAGCTTCATCAAATATGGTTGGGATTTCCAGGTGCTCGTGGATTTTCCAATTTCGAGTATACCAAGAGTACCATCAGGAAAAATACTTCCTGGGCCTTCTTTTATTAGCTGAACCAAAATTAGGTAATCTAGTACGGATGAGAACATGTTACGCATTGAAGCATTACTGCAATGCTTGCTGATACAGAGCACAATGATGTGTAGAGCAGTATAATAGAATTGATGTAGACGCATTGACACAAACCACTTCCCAATGGGTCGCGATGCCCATTCGCTGGTAGGTTCCGCGAAGCGTTGCTCTTGTTAGGGCCAGTGTGAGCATGTTCTTTCAGGTTGACCACCGTGAGCTCACCTACCAGTCACAGCGTAGCTAGAATAGCACCTACCAGCAAATACCTACAAACTAACAGCGAATAGGCATGGAAGAAAAAAAATTCAATACTGCAGCAGTAGATTTCCCGGTCCTTTGATTACCGAAAAATATCCTGGGCTTGGTTGAAGATCTTTCCTTTGTCGTATCTCTAAAAAAATCGGTATGTAAATAATAGGGAACTAAAACTGTGTTCCCAACCTCACAATAGGCACAAACAAAAAAAAACAAATTAAGAGTAGATTAAAGATTTTTTTTTTTCTAAATTAAAACGTTCGACTTCAAAACTATCGAACCCCGACATCGCATGACGTCATATGTGGTTAATTGCTTTTTAGCTACATTCTTTGGTTCAGTTTTATTATACGCGTCAATAGTCAATCAACAGATAAATCTGCTAGGAATGCACCCGGTTCGTTATTAATTCGTCGTCTATTATGACCACGAATTACATTACCCGTTGACTAGATGCGTACGCCATGCTGTACAATAAAAAACAGATATAGGAATAATTATAAATACTTTAATTGTTTAGCTATACTTATACTTATAATATTATATAATTATAAAGAGGATGTAAAGAGGAAAGATTTGTTTGTTTGTATTGAATAGGCTCCGAAACTACTGAACCGATTAGAAAAATTCTTTCATTGCTTGAAAGCTACACTATTCCCGAGTGACATAGGCTATATAATCTTTTTTGAAAAAAAATTAGGGATCCTTACTAAAACTATAATAATGTAACCCAGGTGTAAAAATATTACCTAAAATATTCTTTACATCGCGTACCCTGCGAAAACTATTCGTGATAGAATAAAATAATGTACTACGACTTTGTAGAACACATTATTATTTACAAAAAGTGTCGCCACGGCATATGTCTGACTATTATAGCAATAAGTGTTTTTTTTATTTAATAAAATAAAACAACGTCAATTATCGTTGAAATGTTTTGTTAAAGACCCGAGCGGAGCCGGAGCGGGCCGCTAGTTAATAATAAAAACGGCAAAAGAATGAATGATAGTTCAAAAAGTCTTCAAGTAGGGTGACAATGTTTCTAGTGACGATGCTGTCCACGGTTACTCCGTCAACCTCTCCCAGATCTACCCCTGAAGCAGCTTACACGCTACAACGATGATTACAAGGGAGTTGCGGATATTTTTACTGGTGGTAGGGCCGCTTGTGAGTCCGCGCGGGTAGGTACCACCACCCTGCCTATTTCTGCAGTGAAGCAGTAATGCGTTTCGATTTGAATGGTGGGGCAGGCGTTTTAACTATACTTGAGACCTTAGAACTTATATCTCAAGGTGGGTGGCGCATTCACCCAACTAAGCAATAAAAACTCATCCATCATAAAGACTCATCCACCCAACTAAGCAATAAAAAAAAATTGCATTTCTGAAAAACCACCCCCTTTCATCTGCTAATTTACTGTAACCCCCCGCGTGGAGGGAAAGAGCACACGACGCGTCCATTCGCTACGAGCTTAAGGGATTCGCAAAAGTGTAGTAATAAAGTATAACCCTACAAAAGGATAAGTGAATTCCAAATGTTTCATGTAAAAAATGAGTACTACTTGCAACTGCTCAGAGTGAAACACGGAACCAACAAATAATCACTCGGTCATGATATTACTATCAATTGTAAAATCCAAATCAATATTTAGTATTCCCTGATTTTTTAAAATTTTACTTTACTTTCCTTAATCTCTATTTTTAATTAGAGTTTGATAGCTGAATACATTTACCATTGTCATAATTTATAACGATATCTCATAATCTATACTAAATATGTTACATTACAAACATGTTACTGATAGTATATTATAATCTTTTTTAAAATTAACACATCGGATATTTTTAGTACGGTAAAATATATGATCCGAGTAACACCGTCTAGATCTACTATAATAAATACGATAATGTCTCTGCTGGTGATTTATGTACCAACGGATTTAGAACTAAACTAATAGTTTTTTAAAACCAGAAAGCGATAGAAACAACTCTGTTCGTCTCAGATAAGTACAACATGCTTCATTGTTTTTTTTAATGCATAGATGGGTGGACGAGCTCACGGCCTACCTAGTGTTAAGTGGTTACCTGAGCCCATAGACATTTACAACGTAAATGCCGCCACCCACCTTGAGATACAAGTTCTAAGGTCTCAAGTATAGTTACAACGGCTGCCCCACCCTTCAAACCTAGAGAGATGTTTTCAGTAAAATGTCATATTTCGGATCTGAAATTGTTTATGCTCCAATCCGTATGGATTACAACTGTCATATTGATTTTTATTATGAAAATACTGAAAAAAGAATGGAATTATTGAAATTTTCATATTTTAGTATTTTAAAATGTAAATTTTTGTGTAATATAAATATTTTTATAAAATTAAAAAAGGAATTCGTAGGACCAAAAAAGGATGAAGTAAAAGAAAAAGAAAAGAAGAAAGAGAAAAAGCCCAATGGCACGTTACAGTGGATATGCCATTAGAGATATCATCCAAGGAGGGTTGACCGATCATAATGCCAAGACCTTATGTAGCATAATAAGTAGACATGCTCTGACCACACTAATAATGAGGAATAAGGTTAAGAAGAAAATGCTTATGAATAACAGCTGCTAAAAAACCAAAATCTTTAATATACTAAAATAAAATAAGATGTTTTTTTATGGTAAGATAATAAAGTTACATTTTTGTCTGTACAGGGTTACTGGATAGATGACGTAACCATAATAAAGGTTACCACCGACAAGGCGAGATGAAAATATGAAGACAATCATGAAACTATGATATTATGTTTACAATTTAACTGATGTTCTCTCGAAAAATCCAGAAACGAACAACTTTTTATTGTAAATTAAAAATCATGAAAACTAGATATTTTAAAAGTTTCTACGACAAAATCTATTACTTTTAATCTAATCTGGAATTTACTAGCAGAGTTACTTCATATTTCCAATAACCCTTAAATATAAATAGGTATATATATAAAGAAACAGTTCACTACATTTTAGTCCCTTGTTTGACAGCCGATTTTTTTCCTTGGAACCGATTGGTGAACATAATCTTTTGCAAAAAAAAATCGATAGCACTTTTTGCACTTATTTACAAGAAATAATATCCACAACAAAACAAAAGAGGAAACGTAATAAAAATATATCATATGAATCTAAGTCTTGTGGTGTCAGTGATTAAGGTCTATGTTTTTTTTAATGCAGAATGAATTAAACCATTACCGAAGTGGTAAAGAGAGGTTGGAACAGAAGTTTTACCGTTGATAAGACTCCTTAAGAAACCACCAAATATAAGATACAAAATTTCTATGATAGCTCTTATTTCAAAGTAACACAAATTCTTAGGAGAACTGTCTCAACCTTTATTACCGGTTTTAGGGCATCTAATGAGTCCGCCCTAGTAGGAACCACTACCCTGCCTATTTTTGCCGTGAAGCAGTTTCAGCTTAAAGTGTGGCATAGCCACTAACTGAGACTTAGAAATCTTGTCTAAAACTGGGTGGCAGCATTGACATTGTTGATGTCTATGGGCTCCAGTAACCACTTAACACCAGATAGGCGGTGAGCTAACCACCCGTTTAAGCGCAAAAAGAAAATGATTCTAGGATGAGACCTATTGTAAATGGTGAATTATGTTTTCCCATACTTGTCTAAATAGGACACCAATGATGATTAAGTGATAATTGATCCACAGTCTTGAGATTGCGCGGGATATTTAATGGAATTAGCTTTAAATTACTTATTAAAAAACGATACTACTAAAACGCCCAAACATTTGCTTTTAACTTAGTAATTGAATATTGTTATCTACTTATGTGACAGGTATTTTGCCGGTGTCGATCAGGTGGTTCGCGCATTTACGTTGTAGATGTCTATGGGCTCCCGTAACCACTTAAAATCAGGTTAGCTGTGAGCTCGTCCACCCATCTAAGCCATAAAAAAAGGAAATAGTATATATAGCCTATTTATATTGTTTTTTATATATATAAAAGCGGTTATGTTAAGTTATGACCAATATCAATATTGCCGCCAAATGATGCCAATCAGTCATCCGTAGTATCATCGCCTTTCAGATTTTGCAATCTCGGAACACATTGATAACGTGGCACGTTCAACATCGGTATTGCCACGGAACGCTGCCACATCGTTCTTCTTGGCACGAAATCGAAAAACGGTGCAAACTTTGGCCCGAACCGTTGCATCCGGAATGGTCGGTAACACGGTTGGGGTTGGATTTCAATTACACGTAACGGCCATATGTACGGAGAGTTTATGTAGCGTGGTAGCGGGCCAGTTCTCATGAAAAAAGGCCACGGTTTTCTTCCGTAGTTTGGTCCTAGACAAAAATAAATAAATTATTGACTGTTAATTTGATAAAGTTCATTTCTATTTCACTGGCTACAAAACTATTGCAATGTTTGTACAGAAATCGGAATGGCCCAAAAATTGGTCGTCGACCGCATTTTAAGTCGAAATATCTGTAGACCCTGATAGCCACTTAATGCATTTTTTATTTTTTTATTTTTTTTATTGCCTAGATGTCTGGACGAGCTCACAGCCCACCCGGTTTTAAGTGGTTACTGGAACCCATAGACATCTACAACGTAAATGCGCCACACGCCTTGAGATAGAAGTTCTAAGGTCTCAGTATAGTTACAACGGATGCCCCACACTTCAACCGAAACGCATTACTGCTTCACGGCAGAAATAGGCGGGGCGGTGGTACCTACCCGTGCGGACTTACAAGAGGTCCTACCACCAGTAATTACGCAAATTATAATTTTGCGGGTTTTGAGTTTTATTACACGATGTTATTCCTTCACCGTGGAAGTCAATCGTGAACAATTGTTAAGTACGTATTTCATTAGAAAAATTGGTACCCGCCTGCGGGATTCGAACACCGTTGCATCGCTACGAATGCACCAGACGCTTTATCCTTTATGCCACGACGACTTCAAATGCATAATGGGCAATGGACACATTCTAGACAATACAAAAGCTTAAATCGGATTTATGCAGAATTTTTCGAGTCATGTATCTAAAAGTTTTAGTTACCAAAATGAGTGACGATTCTGACACTTCCTTTGGCGTGTGCGCGACCGGAAAACGGTACAGTTTTAGGTACTGAGGCTTTCTTGATCACTTCGTCTTTAACCGAATCTTTGGCGACATCTTCGGCGACTACTGCCACGTCTCCCTCATCAACGGCCGTCTCTGTTTGCTGTGGAGAAATTTCAAGTAAATCAAACAAAACAAAATCGATAGTGTACAAGGTTTTGAATGTAATAAAAGGCAGGCTTGGTCGACGGTGTATCGCGTCCCGACCCGGCAGGCTGGTTCTGGTCCAGCGGGGTATTCCGGGACACCAGCGGCACCGTCCGGGCGGCCCGACGGGCTGCCGTACCGAGACGGCCGACGTTTCAGAGCCTTCGATTCGCCTTGAAGGCTCCGTTGGCTGGGCGTCCTTGGGGTGAGCCGCGCCGTCTGGTTGTAGTGTTGACCGCGGTAGCCCCCCTACCTCATCCGGGTTCTGACCTCGGTGGGGATCGGACGTCGGGTGTAAGAGTGCAGGGGAGTCGTTAAGTGGGTGGGCCCTAAAATCCTTGGGCCCGCGGTCTGCTCACAACACCATGCAGATCGTAGAATCTCACATACCCCGCGCGCCCCTTTTGCGCGGGGACCTCGTAGGAGGTTCGGCCCTCTACCCGAAAGAAAAAAAAAGGCTTGCCTGATTTGCTTAAAACAACACCAGCATATCTCTACCGATCGATGTCAAAAAAGGCCATTGAGAGATTTACCGGATAAATACTACTGCTTCTATTATGGAAGCCACTTGGCAGGTTGGAAATTAGACCCCCACTTGTTGCTGGAGCGATTTATTTTGCTATTCGATGTTATGGCTATTTCTACACCGAAGCAAGCATCCCTTACCTTGTCTTAAAAGGAGCAGCAACACTAATGGTACTATATCCAGAGGCTTAATACTCACTTCACTTCAGGGTACCCAGCTAAATTTAGTGCAGACATCTTCTTTCTTACTTAAGAACAAAAAAGGTAAAGAAAATATAATATATACCTGAGTCACAACGATTTCCTTTAGCAGAATTAAAAAGATTAGAAACATTTTGGAGTACGTGCATCTCTGAGTATACATTTGAATGAAATACGTGACCCATTTAAATTAGTTATTTATAATATTTCTTAATTACCCATACGGCTTGATAGTTTTATTCTCGAATATCTTTTTAAAATTGAATCTATTTAAAACGATTCAGCGGCTGTGTTTGTTCGTCAGCAGTAGTTGATCGTAGCTAACTACCCGTACCATGCCCAATGCTAAGTTCTCAACGCCCAACGTAAATCCGGCAACTATATACATGAGGTCAATGTTAAACTCCTCAAAACCGATAATCATTCCATTTCACTATCTCTTCTATGATACATCTGTGTAACTATCTTACTGTTTACTGGTGGTAGGATCTCTTGTGAGTCCGCACAGGTAGGTACCACCGCCCCGCCTATTTCTGCCGTGAAGCAGTAATGCGTTTCGGTTTGAAGGGTGGGGCAGCAGTTCTTCTCCATTCATTACTATAATATATATTCGGTTCGAAGGGTCGGGCAGCCGCTGTAACTATATTAAGACCTTGGAACTTATATCTCAAGGTGTGTGGCGCATTTACTTTGTAGACGTCTATGGGCTCCAGTAACCACTTAACACCAGTCCAAATTTAGTAAATGAATAAAAAAAATCATTTCTTTGTCCGTAGACGGTAATTAATCAACAAGCAAAACCATGAGCTTAATACTAATTTATGATTCAATAAAAAATGAAACGTGACATTTTGGAAAAATACAATCAAAAAAATGTTTAAGGTGCAAAAAAAAACATTACTTCCTTGTGTCTGTTCCGTTTGCTCTTTATTAGATAGAGCAGGATGGATGTAGCGAATAATACATTTTTAAATGCAAACAAAATTGCGTTATCAGAACACTGAAAAATGCGCTTATTGTCATGAAGGATTCTATGATTGAATACAATTCTTCATTTTATAACACATTATTTTCATCCTTTGGTCTCTACTAAATTAGAATAACCCAATTTTTCAGGTTATCAATTGACGTGTCTTTCTTCTTACTTACTTCATTCTGTTACAATGTTACTATTGACGTGACCACGTAACAGCGAATGATTGGGATTGCATGTTTCAACGAAAACTCCACCCACATTAACTTGCTGTAACACCAAAAGCTAATGTATTGAGTGATGAAATCATCAACGCTGAATCTTGGGTCTGGCATGGAGTACTTGCATCGATATCAAACCCTTCACTTTCCCAACCAGTTTTACTAAGTAAGCCTTTTTTGAATATTACTACATAGTATAAAACAAAGTCGCTTTCTCTGTCCCTATGTATGCTTAAATCTTTAAAACTACGGAACGGATTTTAATGCGGTTTTTTTTTTAATAGGTAGAGTGATTGAAGAGGAAGGCTTGTATGTATAATAACATCCATTAAATAGTGGAGAAATCAATAATAAACTACAGTTTCCGAAGCAAAGCGAAGGCGGGTCGCTAGTTTATTATAATACTTTTGAAACTCATCTAATAATTATAATAATCAGAGAGAGCCAAAACCGAAGATTTATATTTTTTTATAAATAAGATAGCATTGGTGGAATAGCCATAAGCGATTACTAATTGCGTTTTCAATGTTAGATATTAATTTAGATGGATGCTCATGGCATGTTTGCTTGAGTTATTTATCGTAAACCATAGATTATAGTAATTAATTAAGAAGAAAAAATTTTTCATTTGCTTATAGTCTTCTAAAAGAATATATTTTGGCACATTCAGCTGATGTCATTCGATTGATTTCAATTTAATCACAATTCTATTGGAAATAAAAAGAAATTATTCACTGTATTCTTCTGCAATGTCCCTGAACACAATAGAAATAAGGAATTTTTCCTACCTATGTTGGTAGTCTCTGGGGACTATGCCAGCTTCATCCAGCGAATACGTAAGCTCATGGGGCTATAACCTGACGAGTTGCTAATACTAGGCCTAGCAAGAGCAGTGCTTCGCAGAATCTACCAAAGGATCGGAAACGCTACCCACTGAGAACATCCGGAGAAAAACTCAGTGGGCCATGTCTGAGGGTTATTTTCTATTAAACAAACAGTAGATCTATTCTGTGTCTGAGGGAAATAAGGGAGTGAGTTACAAACACACGACGAAAGCTCAGTAACAATCAATTACTTAAGTAGCTTTGATCTAAAAATGTTGCTTTCAAAAAATCAACAAAATTTAAATACTCATTTAATCACATACATACTTATACAAGCAGTCGACAGATTCAATCTTTCTAAAAACAATTACAAAGCATTTAGTAATGTCACTGTTTCGGTTATACCAGCAACCGGGAGTCCATTTATGATCGGCAAACTTCCATACTTGCCCAAATTCAACGTGTTGATGTGAGGCGTATTCATTAGACTCGATTCATCAAATATGCTTGATTCATCTGCAGTCTCCAAAAATATGTTAGGTATGAAATTGACGTTCATATTTGATATATCTTTTATGTAACGCGGACTGTTATGTGCGTTGTTGAATGTGTCATCAAAATTAAGGGGTTGATACTTAAAATTTCCAAGCATTGGAGTCAGATTTTTACTATTCATAATTACGGCTTCGTTTGCAACAGCCATTCCAGTAGCTGGTACATCATACACTGGTTTGTTGCCAGCTGAAGCATCGATTATCAGCTTGCCAGTTAAATCGTTGTAATTTCGCTGGAATTCTGTAGGAACTCTATTGCTGTTTTCTACGTAATTTACAAATGGAGTATTAACACTTGGAACGTAATTCAAAGGATCGTTATTATGATTGTTTGGTCCCAAAATCTGTTGATTGACATTTGGTTTTCCGTTTAATTCGTAATTTGTGATAAACAGCTTGGAATATTCTGGGATTGCATTCAAAAAACTAGCTTGAATATTTTCATTTGAAACTCTGTTATTACCATTATTAACATTATTATAATTGTTTTCTCTCAAACTATTAAGGATTAGGCGTTCATTATCGTATTGATTTTGTGTTACTTTAGGTATTCCTTTATCTGTTACTTCAGTTTGCTTTACGAAACGACTTAACGAACTCATATCGCTAGGTTCAATAGCATCTCTATAGCTGTTTATATAAGGTTCATTAATCACTGCTATATCAGAACCGATGGTTTTAATATTGCCGCTATCATTGGCCATAGAATTTATCTTCGTTATAAGTCTTCGCAATAAATATTCCGGGAAATTGATTTTAATATGATTATTGTTGTCGTGTACTACGCGTCTTCCGTCTTCAACTGTATTTGTTAGCATTAATATGTCATTCGAGTGTTGTCGATTTGAGATTCTCTGGCAGTCACATTCTCCAAATTGCAAGCACTGTGCTGCGATAGACTGAAAATAAAAATTTGATTTAAAAAAACAATCAGAATGCAGAATGTATTTACGTATTTAATTTTATGTAATTAGTATGTAATCTCGAAGGCCTTGATACAGTACTGTGAACCGTGTACATATATAACAAAAGCTAAATGCAGTTTGTTTATTTAAAAGAGATGACGCTGTATATTCTTCGAAGACAGATTATCTACAAGACTTTACAATTAGGGGCGTAAATTAGCCTTCCGGGTTACGAAATCAATTCAGCGGAATTACTATAACTAGAGGTCCCGCAGTAGTCGTATAATTAATTGGAATTGTAAGTTTGTACACTATTATGATTGTATTTTATACTTCTATAATCACAAATTTCGCCAAGACTACACTATAAAAAATATTAACAAAGACAAACAATATTTAATCTCAATTTGACAACAGACGTCAAGAACAAAAGTTTGACAATAAATAGTATGCATGCGTGTGTGCGTCAAATACATGGTATGTAATGTGNATTGGAATTGTAAGTTTGTACACTATTATGATTGTATTTTATACTTCTATAATCACAAATTTCGCCAAGACTACACTATAAAAAATATTAACAAAGACAAACAATATTTAATCTCAATTTGACAACAGACGTCAAGAACAAAAGTTTGACAATAAATAGTATGCATGCGTGTGTGCGTCAAATACATGGTATGTAATGTGTGTAATGTTTTCTTTATTGATTTTATGTACCTTTTATGCATTATTTAAATAAAATATTAGCATTGTGCACTTCTTCTCTATATTCTCTATAAGTGTGGAAAATTTCATACTCCTCCGTCCGCGCAATTTTCGTAAAAAGGGATAGATAATTTTGGCTTCACGTATTAATATATAGATAAAAAAAATATAATTTATTGTTGAATTCACACTTTTGGGTGTAAACACAACTTGCATAAGGACGGTTGTGAAGTTTTTTTTTTATTGCTTAGATGGGTGTATGAGCTCACGGCCCACCTGGTGTTAAGTGATTACCGGAGCCCATAGACGTCTACAACGTAAATGTGCCACTCACCTTGAGATAAGAGTTCCAAGGTCTCAGTATAGTTACAACGGCTGCCCCACCCTTCAAACCGAAACGCATTATTGCTTCACGGCAGAAATGGGAAGGGCAGGTCCGACCCCCAAAAAAAAAAAAAAGATCCGACCACCAGTAGAGCCTGATTTTTATTTATTATACGTGGCTTCATGGATCGCAATAGTTTGCGGTTTGTTTATCTATATAAGCGGTTTGTCAAATAAAAAAGAACCGATTTTTTTTTTCACAAAAAATAAATAAATTTTAAATTACTTTACCTGAACGAAAAACAATTTGATTAATATTATCATGCATTTTAAATACATTTTTTTTTTTTGGGAACGACAAAAATATACTACATCACATCTTCACTGATTGTAAACGTTTTGTTTTAATTTTTTATTTTATCTCAAACGATTATATTTATAGTCAGATTTATCGAATAAAACATTGCTTATCACGATCCCAATATGGCTCTTGTTTAGTATCGCGCGTCTAATTAAAAACGTGATGTATCTTTATTAATTTAATATTAATACGTGAAGCAAAAACTTTGTATCCCTTTTTACGAAAATTGCGCGGACGGAGGAGTATGAAATTTTCCACACTTATACAGAATATAGAGAAGAAGTGCGCAATGCTAATATTTTTTTTAAATAATACATAAACGATACATTAAATCAATAAAGAAAACATTACACACACTACATACCATGTATTTGACGCACACACGCATGCATACTATTTATTGTCAAACTTTTGTTCTTGACGTCTGTTGTCAAATTGAGAATAGATTAAATATTGTTTGTCTTTGTTAATATTTTTATAGTGTAGTCTTGGCGAAATTTGTGATTATAGTAGTATAAAATACAATCATAATAGTGTCCAAAATTAAAATTCGAATTAATTATAGTCCAATTTCGACTACTGCGGGACCTCTAGTTAATTTAATTTCATATCGGATGTGACTAAGACACGCTTACTGGTGGTAGGACCTCTTGTGAGTCCGCGCGGGTGGGTACCACCACCCCGCCTATTTCTGCCGTGAAGCCGTAATGCGTTTCGGTTTGAAGGGTGGGGCAGCCGTTGTGACTTAGAACTATTATCTCAAAGTGGGTGGCGCATTTACGTTGTAGATGTCTATGGGCTTTAGTAACCATTTAACTCCAGGCGGGCTGTGAGCTCCTCCACCCATACAATAAAAAAAGACATGTGTACGTTCCGAAAATATTGATGCAACAAAATCTTACCCAGCTGAGCTTCATTCTATAAAATCGACAGTAACTGCTTTCCGCTGCTGCTTGTTGTCTGTCTACAATGGCAATTAAATCTACTAGCTCATAGACACAACCCACTGAGTTTCCGGCCAGATGCTCTCAGTGGGTCGCGATTAGTCCTATCCGCTAGTAGATTCAGCGAAGCACTGTGCTTGCTAGGGCTAGTGTTAGCATTTCTCTCAGGTTGACCCCGTGAGCTCACCTACCCTTCCACATGAAGTTGGAATAGCACGGTAGACTATCAACGATTAGGTAGGGGAAAAAAGACGTGCTACGCGCATTGTCTGGTTTCCAGTCACATAGTCATGATAGGTCCATTAACATCAATTGTGTTTCGCCTTTCAAATATATTTTAAGGTTTATGGATTGAAATATGCCAACTGCCAGTGAGTGGGTCGAACCTAATGAACTGCTCCTCACTCTTGTGTAGGTATGTCTTGTAAGACTAATGCAGATTATGGTATGCCAAACCTGGTTTTTTCAATTTTTAGATAATGACTTGGTACTTGTCCCTTCCAAGATTATTTGTCAGAAGACGAATTAATTTAACCCCATTCTCTGTTCTATAATGTTCTTACACAGGCGCCATTTACTATGCACGGTATTTATTCATTTTGGCTTTCCAATACACACGGGTATAAACATTTTTATGAAAGAGTAATCTCACGTATATACTGTGTCACGGGGCCCAAACCGGAAGTGTTGCTAACACTGGCCCTAGCAAGAGCAGTGCTTCGCAGAATCTACCACTGGATTCGAAACGCGACCAATTGGGAAGATCCGGCGAGAAACGCAGCGGGCTGCGTCTATGGGTTAATTTACTTGTCGAGCCCTTCGTCGCAAACGACGGGTTCGGCGAGGACGGTGACCGGTGCTTGAGGTACCTAAACGCACCGTTGGTGGATCGGGAGGATCCCTAATGACGTGTTTAAGGCGACGTCGACTGTTTACCATTCGATTCACAGGATCGGGTATGGAAGCACGTCAACACAAGCAATCTTTGCGTATTTAAATGTACTAGTGGTCCCGCAGTAGTCGGAATTCGACTATAATTAATTGAAATTATAAGTTTGAACATTATTATGGTTACATTGACAAAGACTTTTAGCGATGTCCAGTTTCGGAGTCATTTGGAAGGCAAAGCCAAGTTGGCGTCCAAAATGCTGGGAGTCCTCAACAGAGCGAAGCGGTACTTCACGCCTGGACAAAGACTTTTGCTTTATAAAGCACAAGTCCGGCCTCGCATGGAGTACTGCTCCCATCTCTGGGCTGGGGCTCCCAAATACCAGCTTCTTCCATTTGACTCCATACAGAGGAGGGCCGTTCGGATTGTCGATAATCCCATTCTCTCGGATCGTTTGGAGCCTCTGGGTCTGCGGAGGGACTTCGGTTCCCTCTGTATTTTGTACCGTATGTTCCATGGGGAGTGCTCTGAGGAATTGTTCGAGATGATACCAGCATCTCGTTTTTACCATCGCACCGCCCGCCACCGGAGTAGAGTTCATCCATACTACCTGGAGCC